AGGCTCTGGTGTGGAATGGGACGGCTCCATTGAGACCCTCCCGGAACAAGAAGCAGATGGAAACCGAGAAGGTGAGTAGAGGTGTGGGGAAGGAAGGAGTGAGCCATCCACCCTACCCAGGGCTCCATCCTCTTACCTGACCACTTGCTTAACCAAATGCCAGTGGATGCGCTATTGGGGAACTAGCAGGGAGCATTCTAGTGTGGGAGGGGCAGACAGAAAATACTATGCATAAAAATAATTGTCTAGGGCTGGGAAGGTGGCTCAGTGGTAGAGTGCATGCTTCTCAGGCCTGAGGCCCTGGGTTTGATTCCTCAGCACCACATAAACAGAAAAAGCAGGAAGTAGCACTGTGGCTCAAATAGTAGAGTGCTAGCTTTGAGCTGAAGAGCTGAGGGACAGCACCCAGGCACAGAGTTCAGGCCCCACAACCAACCAAAAAAATAAAAGAAAAAGAAAAAAATAATTGTCTAGCTGGGTGCTGGTAGCTTGCATCTGTAATCCTGGCTACTCAGGAGGCTGAGATCTGAGGATCACTGTTCAAAGTCAGCCCAGGCAGGAAAGGCCATGAGACGCTTACCTTCAATAAACCATCAGAAAACCAGAAGTGGCGCTGTGGCTCAAGTGATAGAGCGTTCACCTTGAGCTGAAGCGTTCAGGGACAATGCCCAGGCCCAGAGTTTAAGCCCCACAACCAAAAAAAAAAAAAAGGTAAAACGATATGAATAACATGAATGAATAACATCTTATTTAACTCAGTTTGCCTAAACAAGTGCCGTTTTACATAATCAGTGGGTACTGGCGCTTGACTGTTTAAGTCCCTCTGGCATTTCCCAGGCAAACACAGTTTGGGTCAGGCGTGGAGCGGCTGCTGGTGCCTTTGCAGCTCAGCCACTCCTGCTGGGGGTGTGGATGCCCAGGAAAGAAAGCAGAGCAGGAGGAGGGTCAGGAGTACTGGTGAGCAAGTTGGACCCTTTCGTATTTTGATGGTGCTGGGGTTTGAATTCAGGGTTTCTCACTTGCTAGGCAAGCATTCTACCTTTGAGTTCCTCTAGACTTTTTTTTGCACTGGGTATATTTATTTATTTTTGCCAGTCCTGGGGCTTGAACTCAGGGCTTGGACACTGTCACTGAGCTTCTTTTGCTCAAGGCTAATGCTCTACCACTTGAACCACAGCACCACTTCCAGCTTTTTCTGTTTATGTGGTACTGGGGAATTGAACCCAGGGCTTCATGCATTCTAGGCAAGCACTCTACCAATGAGCCAGCTGCACTGGCTTTTTTTTTTTTTTTTTTTGCTGTCAGGTCTTGAATTCTGGGCCTGGGCATTGTCCCTGAGCTTGTCAGCTCAAGGCAAGTGCTCTACCCTTGAGCCACAATGCCATTTCTGGTTTTCTGGTGGTTAATTGGAGATAAGAGTCTCACAGAGGGGCTGGGAAGGTGGCTAAGTTGTAGAGTGCTTGCCTTGCATGCATGAGGCCCTGGGTTCCATTCCTCAGCATCACATAAGCAGAAAAAACTGGAAGTGGTGCTGTGGCTCAAGTGGTAGAGCACTAGCCTTGAGCTGAAGAGCTGAGGGACAGCACTCAGGTCCAAAGTTCAGGCCCCATGACCACCAAAAAAAAAAAAAAAAAAAGTCTTACAGGTGTTCCTGCCCAGGCAGACTTGAACCGAGATCCTCAGATCTCAGCCTCCTGAGTAGCTAGGATTACAGGGGTGAGCTACCAGCACCTGGCTTTGCACTGGCTATTTTTGAGGTAGGGTCTTACTTCCTGCCCACATGCACACCTGGATTGGTCCGCCTTCGAAGCTCTCTGTTGTAGCTGGCATAACAGACATGCACTACCATGTCCAGCATCTTCCATGGAGATAAGTCTTTCAGACTTGAATGCCTGGGCCTGGAACCTCTCTTCTCCTGATTTCAGTTTCCATAGAGCTAGGATGACAGGCATGCAGCACCGTACCCAGCCATTAGTTGAGAAGGATGTCTATGAACATGTTTGCTCAGGCTGGCCTTGAACCGCAATCCTTCTAGTCTCCGTCTCCCAAGTAGCTAGGATGAGCCTTTAGAGCCCAGTAGCAGGTTGGAGTTTCATGAGGGTGCTGGGGTAGGTAGATCTCATAGAAGAGGTCAAATTGGAACAGAGACTTGGAGTGAGAGTTTAGGGGAGAGCTTGGTGTGTTCAAGGACTGGTAGATGCAGCTGGTGAGAGGTAGGCCTGAGGAGCAGAGGGTGCGTAGTGGTGCCCGGCCCTGGGAGCCGCCTTGAATGCCGGGAATCGTGAGGAGCTGAGCCTGAGCTGCGTTTTTTCCCTCTAGGCCATGAAGAACTGGAGAAACGTCCCCTCACCCCTTCCCTCAGCCAGTGACACTATGGGGACAAGACCCTTGGGAGTACAACCCTCTTGCCAGCAGAGCACCTATTACAGCCGCAGGCAGCTCAAGTGCTTGGGGAGCCCTGGTGCCCAAAGGGAGAGCTTGGACAAAGAGGACTGGACCTTCAGGTCCTCCACCACCCACACGGGGGCTCTGGAATGGAGCTGGGACAAGCCTGTGGACAGGGGGGATGGCTGGTCCCCATGTGTGGCCCCTGGCCGGGCCTCAGGGCCTGCCATACGGCCATCACTGAGACGACGGTCTCTGGGGGATACCCCAGTTTCAGGAGGCTGGCAAGAATGGGCAAGAGAGCCCCCTCCACGGTGCAGACGCACCAGGGCCCACTCCCTGGGGACTGTGGCCTGGGCTGATGCCTGAGCCTTCGCTGGGATGTGAGACAGGAGAATAAAGCTGGGATGCAACCCCCCTGGAATCCGCTTTGTGTCAGCTGGCTTCTTGGAGGAAGGGGAGGGTGGCCTGGCAGTAGGAGGAGAGAGGGACACTTCCTGTTTGTTAGGGGTCTGTGCCAAAGGCCCGTCCCCTGCCTAGGCTAGGCAGCAAAGGATGATGGGGTGTGGCCAGTTGGCCTTGCCATAACCTGGATGTGCCAGGGGGATGGGGAAGAGGGTGGCTGACTGGGTAGCTAGCAGTAGGCGGGGCCATGACAGGCTCCGCCCTCACCCAAGGCACCTTCCCTCTGTTCACATTTTCCTGCCTCTGCATCTTCTTTCCCTTGGCTCTTTGGAGTCCAGCCAGCCCAGGAGGCACCCCAGATTTCTGATCTGACCCTCTAGGGTGATGTCTGGGAAGGAGGACAATTGGGCTTGGCAACAGGATGTGAGTCAGGGTACCTGAGGCTGCGCAGGGGAGGGTGGAGCCGCCTGGGGCTGGATGAGGCAGCTAAGTCTGGAGGTAAGTAGTGTTGCCTCCCCAGTGTGACCCGCCTCCCCAGTGTGACCCGCCTTCCCAGAGTAACCCGCCCTCCCAGGGCGACCTTCTGCAGCCTGGCTCCCTTTTTCTCAGCAAGACCCTCATAGGATAATGGAGTTGGGTGGTCCCACAGCCTCCAGCCAGCAGACAAGCTGAGGGGACCTTTCTATGGGCCTCAGTGTCAGGGGACCTAATGGCTGCCAACCCTCTTTGGTGGCCCCTGGGATAAGCCATTCAGGATCTCTGAGCCTGATGAGAGAGACCTCCCCCAGAAACCTCTATTTTTAAAAATTGAATCATGCCAGGCTTCAGTGGCTCAAGGCTATAATCTTAGTTACCCAGGAGGCTCAGATCTGAGGATCACTATTCAAAACCGACTGGGCAGGAAAGTCTGTGAGATGATTTTTTTTTTGTTTTTTTTTTGTCAGTCGTGGGGCTTAGAACTCGGGGCCTAGGCATTGTTCCTGAGTTCTTCAGCTCAAGGTGAGTACTTTACTACTTGAGCAACAGTGCCACTTCCAGTTTTCTGGTGGTTAATTGGAGATAAGAGTCTCATGGACTTTCCTGCCAAGGCTGGCTTTGAACCACATGATCCTCTCAGCCTCTTGAGTAGCTAGGATTACAAGTGTGAGCCATGGGTGCTGGGCTTCTGTGACTCTTATCTCCAGTTAACCACTGAAAAAGTCCGGAGGGAGCAGTAGCTCAAGTTGTAGACTGCTAGCCCTGAGTGAAAATGCTAAGGGACAGCACCCAGGCCCTGAGTTCAAGCCCTAGCACTTGCACACACACACAAGATTAAAAAAGAAAAAAAATCATTCTATAGTTTGAGCTCAGGGCCTGGCTAGGCAGGTGCTCTACCATTTGAGCCATGGCCCCGGGTCTTATCAGGTTAGTTATGTTTTTGAACAGGGTCTTGTGTTTTTTGCCTAGCCTCAGACTTGATCCTTCTTCTTGCATTGGGTTAGTCTATTGAGGTGGGGAATATTGACAGCTTTTTACCTGTGCTGGCCTTGAAATGAAATCCCCCTAGTCTCCACCTCCAGAGGGGCTGAGATTACAGGAGTGAGCTACTGCCCAGAGCCATGGACTTTCCTTCTTTTTCAGGTCTCCTCCCAGTGGTCCAGCACCAAAAGCCAGACCCAGATAAGTTAGAAGTGCTGGACCGAGGTTGTGTGGGTAGCAGCTGGCCTGAGGTATTGGGGGGCGGGGGGGGGGGGGGGGGGGGGGGGGGGGGGGGGGGGAGACATAGAGATGAGAAAGGAGTGGGAGGACTGTGATTTGTAGTAAGAGCGGAGAAGCGTGTCTGCAGGGTGGGAGGGAGAGCTCTGTGACCCGTGGGCACCCTTCTCCAGCTGGGAGCCCCCCTCCCCCTCTTCCCCCACCCTGGGCCGACCAAGTTCGGGGGCGTACCCCTCGAGGGTGTACCCCAAGAGCAGCCGTGGGTTATTCAGGGCCCCCTCATGGCTTCCGCCAGCGTTTCCAGCTCCCCAGGAGGGTGGGATGGAGTCCCCGAGCTTGCAGCCCTGAGGCCTGCCCAGGACTCGGGAGCCGGGGCTGCCCCCGCGGCCGCCCACCCGCAGCCCTGGCGCGGTCACGTTCCTGCCGCCTGACTCAGGCCGCGGGGCGGGGTGCCGGGAGGCGGCGCCGGCGCCCGCTCGGCCCCAGAGGCGGCACCAGGAAGCACCCGCCCCGGCCCGAGCCGCCATGTAACCGGCGCCGCCCGGAGCCCAGCCGCGCGCGGCCCCCCGGCTTCACGCCTGCCATGGGGGACGAGGATGAGGACGAGGGCCGCGCCGTGGAGCTGCGGATCACTGACGGTCGGTGCGGGGTCTGGCGATGGCCACCCCAGGAGCCGGGGAGGGGGTCGGGGCCAGCTGGGCTCATTCACCCCCTGTGCCCACAGCCAATCTGACCGGGCACGAGGAGAAGGTGAGCGTGGAGAACTTCGAGCTGCTCAAGGTGCTGGGCACAGGAGGTGAGGATCCCCGATCGCGGGGCAGGTGTCCCCACGGCGTGGTGCTCTGGGCCTCTCTCTTCTTGTCTGGGCCTGGGCCAGGGCCACTGAGGAGGCCTCCCCCCATCTTCCCGGCACCCCCGCCCTACAGTGCCAGGGTTCCATGCCCACTCCCAGGACGCTCTGCCTGGACATCATTCCTCCCTGCCAGGTCCTGTATGTGCTGGCCCCTAGCCTCAATTAGCCGGCTTCCTGCGTGATTTGCATGGTCCCTCCCCGTCCCCAAGCCCCCTGCGATTTGCATAGCTCCTCCCTGCCCCAAACCCCTTCACTTTGCATAGCTCCTCCCCATCCCCAAGCCCCTGCAGTTTGCATATCCCCCTCCTAGTCCCCAGGCCCCCTGTGATTTGCATAACCCCTCCCTGCCCCCCCAAGCCTCCTGCGATTTGCATAGCTCCTCACCATCCCCACCCCCCTGCGATTTGCAAAACTCCTCCCCATCCCCCATCCCCTTGCAGTTTGCATAGCTCCTCCCCATCCCTCAAGCCCCCTAAGATTTGCATAGCACCTCCCCATTCCCAACCACCCTGCGATTTGCATAGCTCCTCCCTATCCCCCCAGCTCCCTGCAGTTTGCATATTCCCTCCCTGTCCCCCAAGCCCCCTGTGATTTGCATAGCTCCTCCCCATCCCCAACCCCCATGTTCGGGCGCCCCACTACATCTTACAAACTCCCAGGCCCTAGTTTGCACAGTCCTCCCCTGCCTGTGGCCGCACCTGGCCTCTCTTCCTTGCATTTGCAGCCTTTCCCATCCCTCTGATCTCTGGCAGGTTTGCACATGTTCCTCCTCCTCCCCCCCCCCACGCCTCCCAGGAATTGCAGACTCCCTGAGCTGCAGTGCCCATCACTTCCCTGGTTTTCACTGCGCACCCTCCGGGGGTGGGCACACCTTTTCCAAAGAAGGCTCTGCCAACATTTTGCACACCTGCCTCTTACTCTCAATTTGCATACCCCGCCCCCAGCAGTCTGCACCGCCCTCCCACTCACAGCCTCTTCCTCTCCTCCTCCCCCCCCCCCTCCCATGCTCCCACAGCCTACGGGAAGGTGTTCCTGGTGCGGAAGGCGGGTGGGCACGACGCAGGGAAGCTGTATGCCATGAAGGTGCTGCGTAAGGCAGCCCTGGTACAGCGCGCCAAGACGCAGGAGCACACCCGCACGGAGCGCTCGGTGCTGGAGCTGGTGCGCCAGGCGCCCTTCCTGGTGACCTTACACTACGCCTTCCAGACCGATGCCAAGCTGCACCTCATCCTGGGTGAGGAGATGCCACATCCCAACCTCGGTGGGGGGGAGGCAAACAAACAGGGACCGGTGAGGCCACTCCATGGGGGAGAAGCCAACTGCCATTCACCCTCCAGATTATGTGAGTGGCGGTGAGATGTTCACTCACCTCTACCAGCGCCAGTACTTCAAAGAGGCCGAGGTGCGAGTGTACGGGGGTGAGATCATCCTGGCCCTGGAGCACCTGCACAAGGTGGGTGAGGACATGGCTCCTGGTGGCTGCTGGGAGATTTGGGGCTAATGAGGCATCTACAAACATGCAGCTGTGGGTCTCCTTCTGGGCTCCCTGGGGTGTGTGGTAGCCTTGGTGAAGATGAGTTGCTTGTGCAGGCCTCCTGGCAGGAAGCCTTGGTACTGCCTGGAAGGGTCTCCTCCTCTGGCACCTCCTACAAGGGGCTTTCCTCTTGCAGGAACTTGGGGATGGGGATACCTACCCAGAACTTCCTCAAACAGAGACCTCAGGCTTTGGCTGTAAGGCCTCGTTGAAATGAGACTATTGTATGTGTGTGTATGTGCCTCAAAGCTTTGAACTTGAGGCCTGGGTGTTGTCCTGTAGCTTCTTTGCTCAGGGCTGACAACTCTACTACTTGAGCTACAGCTCTACCACTGACCTTTTGGTGGTTAAGTGGAGATGAGTCTCATGGGCCAGGTACCTGTGGCTCACGCCTGTAATCCTAGCTACTCTGGAAGCTGAGATCTGAGGTTCGAGGTTTGGAGTCAGCTGGAGGAAGGAGACTTTTATCTCCAATTAACCACCAGAAAACTGGAAGAGGTGCTTTGGCTTAAAGTGGTAGAACACTAGCCTCGAGTGAAAAAAGATCATAGCGCTCAGGCCCTGAATTCAAGCCCACAACTGACCAAAAAACCCCAGATCTCATGGACTTTCCTCAGATCTCAACCTCCTGAGTAGCTAGGATTACAGGCCTGAGCCACCTGTGCCTGGCTGATATGGGGGGGGGCCCTTTAAATAGACTCTCCTCTCTCCAAGACCTTTTGGTCTGTTCGCTGGGGCCTTCTTGCTGTGTATCTTCTGTGGCTTTCCTTGTATATGGGTCTAGCTCTTTAGCGACCACTCATGCATCCTAGGGGCCTCTCTGTGGGTGCAAAGCTTTGCCATAGAGGTTTCCTTGTCCTGAACCAGGACCTGGTGCAAAGGTGTGAGCTGTAGGGATGGGGAGGGTTTGAAAGTAGGAAGCCCAGTATCTCTCTTGCTCCTGCCAGCTGGGCATCATCTATCGAGACCTGAAGCTGGAGAATGTGCTTCTGGATGCTGAGGGTCACATTGTGCTCACAGACTTTGGACTGAGCAAGGAATTCCTGACGGAGGAGGTGAGCAGCCCACAGGCTGGACCCGTGGTACTCCCGTTCAGGCCTCCTTATGTCTCTTCCCTGCTTCTTTGCCTGCATTGTGTGTGTGTGGGGGGGAGTTCCAAAGATGAGATCTAAAAGTCCCCACTGCTGGGTCCTCCATGTCATTCAGTCTGCGGTCAACTTCGGGGGGCTGATGATGTTGGGGAGAGCCCCAGCTATCCTCTTCTTGTCCTCCTAGAAAGAACGGACTTTCTCCTTCTGTGGCACCATTGAGTATATGGCCCCCGAAATCATCCGCAGCAAGGCTGGGCATGGCAAGGTGGGCTCGCGAGGAGGCAGGGGTGGTGGTGGCAGGGTGGAAAGTGGGGAGGCCCCAGGCCCTCACCCCTGTTCCATCCCGCAGGCCGTGGACTGGTGGAGCCTGGGCATCCTGCTCTTCGAGCTGCTGACGGGTGCCTCGCCCTTCACGCTGGAGGGGGAGAGGAACACGCAGGCCGAGGTGTCCCGGTGAGGGGTGCTGGTCGTGGAGGGTGGCGAAGGCCTGTCTGGGCTGGGTGGTGGGCTCGCTACCCCTGACACCCCACCCATCCTCCCAGACGGATCCTGAAGTGCTCCCCTCCCTTCCCCCGTCGGATTGGGCCCGTGGCGCAGGACCTGCTGAAGAGGCTGCTGTGTAAGGATCCTCAGAAGAGGTTGGGCGCGGGTCCCCAGGGGGCACAGGAAGTCAAGAGCCACCCCTTCTTCCAGGTGAGGCCTCAACCCTGAGACCCCTGCACTTCCTGCACGTACCCAGACAGGGCTGCTGCCCTGCACTTCCTGCACCTACCCAGACAGGGCTGCTGCCCTGCACTTCTTGCACCTACCCAGACAGGGCTGCTGCTCTGCACTTCCTGCACCTACCCAGACAGGGCTGCTGCTCTGGGTGGTGCCAGGGGGAGGGTCTGAGTCTGGCCGATTCACATTTCCTAGAGAACCCCAGATAGAGAAAGCAAATGTGGATAGTGGGGGACACTTTCTCCTCCATCTGTATCAAAGCTAGCCTATAAACAGGGGGCTCATGGCTTTAATCCTAGCTACTCAGGAGGTTGAGAGCTGCAGGATCACAGGAAGCAATCTGGACAGAAAAGTCTGAGAGACTCCATCTCCAAAATAACCAGCCAAAAAAACCAGATCGGAGCATGACTCAAATGGTAGAACACCGGCCAAGCCAGCCAAGCCAACCAATGCCAAGGCCCTGAGTTCAAACCCTGGTTCTGGCAAGAAAACAAAGTTGGCACACACTGGAGGGTGGAATCACCTGTCCTTTTCTCTGGGTGGGCCCCAGGAAAGGCTGGTGACCTGCCCAGGGTGGCATTGGAGGGATAGAGGCATGGCTCAAGTAGTAGTGCATTGTCCTAGCAAACAAGAGGCCTTGACTTCAAATCACAGTGCACGTGCACGCGTACACACACCCACATACACACACACACACTGACACAGTTAAGTGATACAGAGCGGTAACAGGTCCCAGCTCTGGGGACGATCTAGCTGGATAAATGGCCCAAATGAGCACTACAGATGTTTCCTGCTTGGCCCTGCAGTCTTTGTACCTATAACTCAGGTGAACTGTTGATCAGCCCACGTGGGGTTTTGCTCCCTTGTTGAGAACTGGCATGGTTTAGAGTGTGGTACGTGGTGAAGTCTGCCCCTTTGGGAGCCCCTGCTGGCTTGGGTTCTGTGGGTGTAGCCAGCCTCATCTGATAAGACACTGTACCTGTAAAGACCTACTGTGTGTCAGCCCTTAGCTTACATAGTTTCACGTAATCCTCTGAACCATTTGTCCCCATCTTTATGCATACAGAAGCTGAGGGTCATTTGCCCAACATCACCCAACCAGGCAGTGATGGAGCTCTAATTCGAACTCAGGGCTAGTGACTTAGTGGCCACCTTCTGTTTGCATGTGAGCATCGGATGTGCCATTTGTCTGCCATGGCAGAACTGTGGCCAGAAACACTGCCACCCATGCTGAGTGCCATCCCTGAGCCTTTCTGACAAGCCTTGGCTTAGAAGAGCTTCCTTAGTGGAGGGACAGGGAAGGGGAGGAGCTTAGGGCCAAGGAGTGTTCATTTTCTTTGGTGAATTCTGAGTCTACTTTGAGCCCATGCTGGGTGCCATGCTGGGTGCTGGGAGAGGTTTGGAGAATAAAATTGGGACTCTAGTGCTAAGAAAGACAGGGAGAATGGATAATGGGCAGGCAAGTACAAAGTTCTGCCATACTAAACACAAAAAGATCTGTTTTCATTGCCATTAGTATAAAGTCTAAGGAAAGGTTCCCGACTCCAGCCAAGGCTGTATCCAGGTGCTCATACTCTTGTGTTTTGGTTCTACTGCTCTGCCTGGGGCTTTATCATGAGACCTTAGTTCCAAACCCATATACTAGATATACATTTATCTGTGGGGCTGGGAATGTGTCTTAATGGTAGAATGCTTGCCTAGCATGCATGAAGCCCTGAGTTCTATTCCTCAGTACCACATACACAGAAAAAGCCAGAAGTGGAGCTGTGGCTTAAGTGGTAGAGTAAAAGCCTTGAGCAAAAGAAGCTCAGGAACAGTGCCCAGGCTCTCAGTTCAAGCCCTAGGACTGGCAACAGACATACAAGCAAACAAATTATCTGGAAGGAGATAGAGGTTTATTTTTCCTGGCCATCCTATTACAGATTCCAGAGCTGATGGTGTGTGGCAGGGTTGGGAGACTCCACTGTTGCCAGGAAGGCTAGAATAGCTGCCACCCCCGTGCCTCATGGGAGGGCTACGGAGTGAGGAGGCCTGAGGGGCGAGGGGCCTCAGGGCTGCAGGTCTTGCTCATCCCTTTGACCCCTCACCCCTTCTTCCCAGGGGCTAGATTGGGCTGCCCTGGCTGCCAGGAAGATCCAAGCCCCATTCCAGCCCCAGATCCGCTCGGAGCTGGATGTGGGCAACTTTGCTGAAGAATTTACTCGGCTGGAGCCTGTCTACTCCCCCTCTGGCAGCCCTCTGCCTGGGGATCCGCGAATCTTTCAGGTGAGTGGGAATCCATGGGTCCCCAGGAGCAGAAGGGCAGGCTCTGCTGCCTGGCTCTGCCCTACTGGGGTGCCTCAGCCAGGACACTGTACACCCCCACACTTAGGGTCTTCAGGAGTATAGACTACATGGTGAACTCTGCCCCTTGGTGAGCCCCTGCTGGCTCAGGTCAGGTGACTCATGGATCATCTTCAAACTTCATGTTCATTTCCCCCCTTGCCACCACCTCCTTGGTATATAAAAATGGGTTTAAGCCGGGCACTGGTGGCTCACGCCTATAATCCTAGCTACTCAGGAGGCTGAGATCTGAGGATCATGATTCAAAGCCAGACCAGGCAGAAAAGACCCTGAGACTCCTATCTTCAATAAACCACCAGAAAACCAGAAGTGGTGCTGTAGCTCAAGTGGTAGGGCGCTAGCCTTGAGCTGAAGAGCTGAGGGACAGGCTAAGGCCCAGAGTTCAAGGCCCACAACCGACAAAAATAAAAAATAAAAAAAAATGTGGGTTTATATTGCCCAGCACATTATTAATTGTTTATGAATAGTTTTAGAATTATGAAGTGGGCACACAGGGAGAGATGCTGTGCTTCGTATTGCTCATACAGCTGCACAGTGTGCCATAGCACACAGCACGCTGCTGTTTAGAAGCTCAGGCTGCTGAGAGCTGGTGGCCACATCTGTAATCCTAGCTGCTCAGGAGGCTGAGATCTGAGGATTGTTCAAACCCAGCCTAGGCAAAAAAAAGTCTGTGAGACTCTTACCTCCAATTGATGAGCAAAAAGCCAGAAGTGGAGCTGTGGTGCAAGTGGAGAGTGCCAGCCTTGAGCAAAAAAGTGAAAATGCAAGGTCCTGAGTTCAGTATCACTACACAAACAACATAAGGCTAGACGCTCAGGCTGCGCAGATAAGCCAAATGCCTCTGAGGCCCTGGTGGTCGCTGCTCAGCTCTCTGAGTGTGTGCTCACTCCCATCCTATGCTCTGCTGGTACCACCCCCTTCCCAGAGGCGTCAGGCCAGACCCCGTGCCTTGGCACATGCCGCTTCCTCCGCACGCAGTGCCCTCCCACAATAGTAACCTGGCGTTGCTCATTCATCCGGGCCACTCTCTCGTGTGCGTAGCCCACTGTAGAAAATACCCTCTGCTGAGCAATTGGTTACCTGCTATCCTGACTGGTCTGAAAGCCCAAGGCAGGGACTGTGTGCTTAGTTCCTAGGCCTACGGAAGAGATTTGACCCATAAGACATGGCTCATATATTTTTATTTTTTGCCACTCAGACTGCATTCTCTCCCTCTTACTCTCCCCAAAGGAAGAGAAGAATGATCATCTAGCCCATGTTTTTTAAATAAGAACCCATCAGTATTGGGGCTGAGTGTATGGCTCAAGTGCTAGGTCCTAAGTTTGAATTCACACCCCAGTACTGCAACAACAACAACAACAGCAAAACAAAAACAAAACAAACTCTCCATAAAATTTTGACAACTTGGGGCTGGGAAGGTGGCTCAGGGTAGAGTGCTTGCCTCGCATGCTCAAGGCCCTGGATTCAATTCCTCAGCACCACATAAGCAGAAAAAGTGGAAGTGGCACCGTGGCTCAAGTGGTAGAACGCTAGCCTTGAGCTGAAGAGCTAAGGGACAGCGCCCAAGCCCTCACAAGCAACAACAAAAATGACAACTTTGTGCTGAAATGGCCCTTGTTGTTGTCTCAGTATTTTGTGAGTCATTGTGTTCACTCATTCATGTAACGTTTAAAAAATGTGTATTGAGCCATACACAGATGACTCACATTGGAATCCTAGCAACTCAGGAGGCTGAGACCTAGAGAATCAAAGTTTGATCCTCTGGGCAAAAAATTCCTCATAACTCTGTCTTCAATTAACCACTAAAATACTTTGATTTATTTGGTGGCGTGGCTCAAGATTTTTTTTCTTTGTCAGTCCTGGGGCTTGAACTCAGGGCCCAGGCATGTCCCTGAGCTTCTTTTTGGCCCAAAGCTAGCACTTTACCACTTGAGCCACAGCACTGTTTTGGGCTTTTTCTGTTTATGTGGTGCTGAGGAATTGAACCCATGCTAGGCAAGCACTCTACCACTGAGCCACATTCCTAGCCCATGGCTCAAGATTTAAAGCCACCCTAGACAGAAAAGTCCTCAAGATTCTGTTTTCAATTAACTAATAAAAATGCTTGACTGGTGGAGTGGCTCAAGCGGTAAAGCACCATCCATGAGCAAAAACAGCTGAGCTTGAATACATGGCCCTGAGTTCAAGCCCGGGTCCTGGCAAAAACAAAGCGAACAACAAAAAAACTTCCAAAACATGTACTAAGTACTGGCATTGGAGTCACACATATCAATGAGACCAACAGGCAAAAACCCTGCCCACGTATAACTTGTATTCATTCATTGTATGCAGTGGGACTACATTTCCGATAGGGAATAAAAAAACTCATATAGGCCAGGCACTGGTGGCTCAGACCTGTAATCCCAGCTACTCTTGGAGGCTGAGATCTGAGGATCAAGGTTCAGAACCATACCAGGTAGGAAAGTCCATGAGACTTTTCAGTTGTGGGTTTGAACTCTGGGCCTGGGCACTGTCCCTGAGCTCTTCAGCGCAAGGCTAGTGCTCTTCCATTTGAGCCACAGCACCACTTCCGTTTTTCAGAGCGGTTTATCAGAAATGGGAGTCTCATGGACTTTCCTGACCCGGCTGGCTTTGAACTGTGATCCTCAGATCTCAGCCTCCTGAGTAGCTAGGATTGTAGGTGTGAGCCACCAACACCCAGCTGAGACTCTTATCTCCAGTTTATCACCTTAAAAAGCAACAGTGGAGCTGGGCGCTGGTGGCTCACGCCTGTAATCCTAGCTACTCAGGAGGCTGAAATCTGAGGATCGCAGTTCAAAGCCAGCTGGGGCAGGAGAGACCGTGAGACTCCTATCTCCAATAAACCACCAGAAAACCGGAAGTGGCGCTGTAGCTCAAGTGGTAGAGCGCTTGCCTTGAGCTGAAG